GTATTGTCTTCTAAAACCACAATGTAAAAGTTAGTCTGCAAATCCAAAACAATGTGTTTTTAATTGCTGAGAAATTATAGTCCACCCCCCCAATTCCTCAAGTTGGTACGGTCGGTCCACACGTGCTGTTTCCAACGGGCGGGGCTGCCGGCTCTGCCTCGCTCACAGCTTCACAGCAGCCCGCAGGAGGCGGGAATCAAAAAGCCAGCGGTTTCCAGCAGTAAGTCAATAATCACACGCTTGTTCTACAAACTTAAATATGTATGTCAAATGTGGTCATAAATGTCAAACATAGACACCGATTACCTTTAGATTTTGATCACCGGTCGGAGATCCCTTTATGACAGACCACCACCACCACAGTAAAATAAAGTTGTCACTTCATGTTCTCTGGTCATTCCAGGATTATTCCACTATTATTATTCCATTCACTAAGGTGATCGAAAGTTCCTTTTCCCGGACACGTACGCTTTCATGGTCTGCCCCTGTAATCTGCGGAGCATTTATAGATCGATGAAAATGTCCTCGTTTCATCCTATTTAGCAGATGAATATGGTAGAATCAAAACTAATTGGTCCGATGTATGGAAAACCACAGCGTTTAACCGCTCTTATCCCGTCTTCCCCAGGCTCTGCAGTTGTTTACAATATGTCAAAGTGCAGATGCACCATGCAGCTTAGGGATGAACTGGTTGCAGAAAATGTGTGGAGGAGGCACGTTGCTCAAAGCTCTCAGTGTAAAACATAGAGCCAAAGATCCCGTTGGCCACACAGACCCAAAAACACTATGAAAACTGAGAAAAGTGAGAGATCGATTAAATTGAAAGACAAACTAGAGAGTATGTATATGTTTAGTGTATTTGTAAAGTAAAGGTTTTTAATTTTTATTATTAAAATGAAACAAATATTTCAAGAATATATTTTTAGATTTTGTGTATCTTTTCATTCAGTAGGACTTACATAAAGTTGTTAAATATTACAGAGTTATTCTCTAATAGCCTACAAACATTTCTATGATTTATTAAAGAGATTTCAGTCATTTTGATACTTGACTTGTGAAAGCTGATTTGAAGTTTGTTGTTTTTTCTAGCCATATTTAGAGGGAAAATTTCAAATATATTAAAATCAATATGGAACTATTTGGATTTTAGTAGCTTTCATGTGATGCGATTTAATAAAATTTTAATTTGACATTTTATGTTCTCTCTCTTTGTTGTGAAAAAGTTAGATATGTTTTAGTGCTTAAAATGAATGCTTTGCATCCGTCCACATGTGTAGTTGTTGGTCAGCTAATAGCCATGTCATTTCAGGACATGTTGCTTCAACTATTAACAATCTACTTTTAAATCTTTATTCTGAATTGCTTGTTCCGTTTTAGGCCACAGTCTTGTTATTGAAATGAAAACAAAAAGGAAGGATGCTTATGGAGATGTACAAAATTGGCAAGATATTATTGTTGATCAATATCCTCCAGCTCCGTTCTAATGACAACATCCCATCTGTGTGTGTGTTGCTGTCCAACTGTCAGCAGACCAGGTCAGTTGAAATGGCAGAGAAACGAAAAATGGCAGACATCAGACTGTTTTTTAATGCTCCAGAACGTCAAGTAAGTAGAAACTTGCATTTTGATAAAGACATCTATAAGAAAGAAATGAAATGCCTATGAAATTGTCTCTAAATGGTTTCATTAGGCAAAGTCCAGTCACTTGAGCACAGGCAGCCAGAGCCTGTCAGACACAGGCACAGAGTCTCAGGTCAGTCTCTTATAAGGACATACAGTGTTGTATGTAGAGAGCATTTATTTCATGCCCCCCCCAAAAAATTACTCTCTGAAGTTTTACTGTTTATTGTCCCCCCCAAAATTGAAATGGGATTTCCGCCCTTGTCCAAGCCCCTTGGACTCAGCCAGAGTTTTGGCAGTGCAGATTGAATTGAATATCAAAATATCAGGAAATAAGACTCCAAATCCCGTCTGAAGCTACTACGTCCCAGCTGACTTCTACATCCCCAAACAGGCACACCGGAGATTTTTCCCCCCAAAGTATGATTTATAAGGCATTCATTCCTGGAGACCACAGCTAATGTACTAAATATACGAGTAAAGTAAGTAAATCATGTTTCGCACATAGTTAGCACATAAACTGTATTTCTCCAAGTTGAGGCCTTTCAGGAGGATTTCTGCAAACACTTCAAACAGAATTCTCCCAAAACAGCAGAACATTCCAATTAAGAGACACAACACGTCTGGGTCTGGAATACAAAAACAAAAGACCAATGCACATCATTAGTTCTCTGTTCGACCACTCGTAATAAAAATCATCCAAATGTGCGTGTGATGGAGAAAATCACATTTTCATTTCATTCCATACTGATAATAGAATATAAAATACTGACATTAATCTGAAATGTCAAGTAAAATACCACTGTACTTAATTGCAGAAAAAAAATATTCAAAACAACAATAAATTAGCTGTTTTCATGACAAGAAAATTAGTTCATTTAAGTTTTTCTGTCAATTTAGGAAGAACAGAGAATACAAAATGGTGGAGTATCTTTGCTTTTAAACCATCTCTTTTATGCCTCTTTGCGTGCTGTCCACCAGTCCGCCACACCGCCTCTATCGGTGCAAAAACCTCTAACAGCTCAGATTTCTTTGATCATCTCTTGCTAATTTATGGATGCGAGCGAATGATGGCAGTTATATTTCCTTTCTTTATTTCTCTTTTAAACTTTCTTCTTCTTGATCAAAAATAGAGGCTGACTTCAGGTAAAATATATGTTTCCAGTTTAATTTGTTTCACGTGCACCAGAGCTGTTTATGTGCAGAAACACTGTGTTTCTGAAGAGTTGATGCTTGCTGTGCAATGTGATTGCTTTTAAGCAATTAGACAAAAATGGGAAAATACACCTAAATGTGAGAAGAAAAGAGTCTGCAGGAAACTGAGGGTAAAAAATCCAACTGTGAGAACACTTCTTGTTTTCCTCCATTATCTCCCAGTGAAAACCTGAAATGAGTTCATAACGGCCTTGTTCTTTTCTCATTAGAAAGCACTTAATGTAAGAACACCCAACCTTCACTGTGTCTAAGAGCAGATTTGTCCGTGATGAAGCAGAAGTGAGGTATTTTTCTCTGACAAAGTTTATGAATAGAAGAAGGCTGTCTTCAAAGAAGGCTCTGGTTATAACAGTCTTTCAGTCCCACTTAATCCTCAACCAACAAGCAGTGCCTGATTTCTGATTGTGTGTTTGTGTTGCCATGGGAACAAAATCACACAAAAACATGAATATTTCAGCAAGAGGCCAATATAAATTTATGTGTGGAATGTTTTGTAAATGCAACGTCATCTCAAACCAGACGATAAATGCTACAGATAGCAAAACACCCAATCACAGCAGGACAGTGTTCCAGTCTAGGGTTGATGGATGTGACAAAGAACACACACAATGTGTTCCTGTGACAGATAGAGATCGTGTCTTTTCTTTCTTTATGGCAAAAGATTTTTCAGTCTTTTAGTCAAACGACACACTCGCGTAATTAACACTCATCTTCTGAGATCGCTGGGTAGAAACAAAACTAAGGGTGATACAAGGTAGCCTAATTATGATTGTAGAGGGCTTTATGTGCTTCTGGTCTCAGAGTAGATGCCCTCAGGTCACAGGAAGAACCATCTCTGACACCAGACGTTTGCCACATACGTGTGTCACAGTGGTGTGAAAACACGTCAGTTTGGGAAGTTTTCATCATCATTTTCATTCTCCAATTATTCCTGGAGAGTTCTTAGAAGAGCTTGTTCTAAAAAGGTCTAAAAATGCACACATTTATGTTCTACTGTATAACTCCAGGGTTCACTCGTGTTTCCTTTATTGTAGTTTCCATCATTTTCTTGCACTCATGGCAAGAGTTTCTGTTCGGGCACCATTGTAAGTCCTTAAAGATGTCTCTGTTGGCACGCCTTACACCTTTGAAATGTTTTTTTTTTATCCTACTTGCATTTTGTTGGCTCTCCTGCAAATTCCAACTGTTTCAGTCTGAAGGTCCAGCAGACACAAAGCTATATATGATTCTGTAAAATCCAGCTCTCCTCCAAAGCCCCTCAGCCAGGTTATAGGCTAAAACTGTTTCAGATCAGGTCTGGGACATTTGACTCGTGAACATGCAATATTTAAAAGGTTATTCAAACCTAACAAGCTCACTAGGGTGGAAAGAATGAGACGGTAACTTTGACTGATGCATCTGACGCTCCCACATTGGATTTAACTTTGGTAAAATAACTTAAATAGGCTCGTACTCAAACCCATGAGTCACTGTTCACAGTACAGACAACATAAATATACCTCCACTGCCTCTAAAGCAATTCATCTAATACAAATCATCCTCAAAGGGTGTATTAACTTATCTGCAATGCACACATGCGTGAATATGGTATGTATAGTGACTTAATAAAATCTTGAACTAACCTTTTTTGCAGGGAGGACTGGGCTAAAACTTGAGGATTCCTTGAACACATCACAAATTGCTGCAAAGCCAAACTTCCAATAACGCTCAATTTCTCTGATCGCTGCTTCAGGCCAGGAATTACTTAGTGGCTCATCAAAATAGTTTGATAGTACTATTCTTATTTCCAGGCAGAGTAAGCCTGAATTGCAACCATCATGTTATTATTATCCACTTGAAGCGATTAGGTTTAGAGAAGAAGTAGTGACATTATTGTGATTGTTCCTTTATTCTGGGTTTTGACTTCATAATATCCTAATGTACTTGGCTGGACTTTCAAGGACGGAATAGAAGACATACCAGTCAAAATATATCTGTTAAACACCACAGCATATAAAAAGATATAAAGACAATTTGTCTCTCTTTAGAAATGATTCAATCAATAAGTCAGGTAAAAAAGGATAAACTAGCACAAAGTGAAATAATCTCTGTGACACAACAAACAAATAAAATACTTAGAAAAACAGATAAATGGACGATCGTGTGGCTTTAATGTACTGACTTACATCCATGTCATCACAAAGCCGAGATCCAGATCCATACTGCAGGCGACACTGATGAACGGCGCTGTACAGAACTCCAGGAAGAATCGAAGTCAGAGACAGTCCGTCCTTCACCGGGGCGTCGTCGAGGCACCAGCCCCAGCCGCGACTGGGAGGATAGAAGCAAACCAAGGAAGCACGTTGTAAAACTTACATCAGTACCAGTCTGCAGTCACCCTTTTCTTTACAGGTATCATGATTTCCTTCAAACACACCATCAGGAACAATTTCTGTTACAATATTTGACACTAAATGTTTTGAATTGGCTTAAGTTTGTATGTAACTGGATTTTGAATGTGGCTGTAAAGTTATTAGATTGAGATGAACCACACTGATGGTGAATACAGATTTGTGTTTGTATGCATTATGCAGATGCTTTTATACAATGACTTACACAAGAGAATGTAGCAAAGCCCCCCTGAGGATAAACTATGCAGGCAGCGACACTCACAGTCAAAGGGGAGCGTGTAAAAACATAAATTTGATTAGCTTCTATGTTAAATGCCTCAAGATGACTTTTATTGTATATTGGTGTAATATAAGTAAAAAAAAAACCCTTCCTTTTTTAAAACAACAACTTTACCTCAATACATTATATTAGTGCTTAATAATCAGCTTACCTTGCTCCGCCCACTTTTTACAACTTTCTACTTCCAGCTAGACCTCACATCATTAACTAGTACAATATTGTGCAGAAAGGGTAACCCAATTTTGGAACACTTACTTAGATGGAAAAAAAATAACGAGCTTGTAATTACATCCCACTTGTCATGAACTTGGATTACTTGAAACTGTCAGAGATCAACCTCTGAAGACATTTGAATAACCCTGCAGGGGAGAAAAACAGCATAAAACAGTCAAATCTTTGTTTCCTGTTGGTAATCAGCCCTGTTCTGTAAGGCGAGACTTCTGTACACATCCAACAAGAGCATGGTGATGGTGATTAGAAATTGTTATTCCCAGAAACAACAGGAAAGGCTCCAACTTGTTCTAAAGCGCCGTGCATCGTCTATAATAAACAGCACTCATCATGTTTATTTTAGCAGTGCTCATTACCTTGTGGCATACATCATGTTTAATTGGAAAGCCTGATTATTCACCTTCACAACAACAAAATAAATGTGCAGAATTCATTCATTCTCATTCCTCTGTTGGTTTTCACTTGTGTCGCGTGATGATTTCCCAATGGTACCTAGGTAAAAATAAGATACAATCCACACATATCAATCATTTTTTTCTTACTAGATGACAACACTTTGCTATATTGGTGGATTAAGTGTGATTTAAAGGGACAATGTGTAGTTTTTACCATTAATCTCTGGAAATACCTATCAAAATGTTGTTGAAAAAGAACTAAATGATGTCCAGTTGTTGAAAATTCCTGGTGGCTTTGTAACATATAACCACATAAATTAGGTCTAGAATGTTAAGGAGTGGGTGTAAGTTTCTGGCCATATAGATACCATGTTTCCTTCTATGGGAGCCCGTGAGGACAAAACGCATTTACTGATTTGTAACGGTTACAAGACTTTTGCCATTCATAAACATAGTTGATTTACACATTTACCTTTTCACTAGTTGCCAGTGCTGAAAGAGAGTGGTGTGCTTGTCCTTTTGCTGGAGGTTGAACGATCTGATCAAGTACTCATTCAAAAATTGCACTCCCTGGGATCTTTGACCCTAGTGGCCATCCACTGGTAAGGTCTTCCTGCTTGCTTGCAATGATTTAGGCATGTACTACCTCATCGCCAGGGAAAATACACACCGTCCCTTTAAGCCAATGCTTCAGTGATTCTTCAGATCTTTGAGTATTTTTCTATCAAAGACATTTGACAGCATCAGATGCCTGAAGTGCAATGTTTTTCTTTCTCTCTCCCACTGACTGCCACTCCATCCTTATATCTTGTCCATCTGTGGGCTAATTTAGTCAATACTGAACCCGTTTTGAATGATTTATAAAGAACAACACTAACAGCTCTGTAGCAGTAACAGCTAAGACTAAAAGAAAGTTTATCAAATCTTATAATATGAAAGTTTCTCCAGCAAAGAGCAGGGTCAACATTTGGTTTGAATGAGAGCTTGAGTCTGGAATACAGATTAAAAAAAAAGACGAATATGATGCTTGTTCCTGCCAAAGACTCCTCGTTTGTTCTTTTTTTTTTTTTTTTTTTTTTTTTTACAAATGAAAGAAACAGAACCAATGATGTGCCAGGAACAGCAGGAAAACCAGGCTTATAGAAACTAAACATTATTGTAAATTGCGTTTATAAAAACAGACTTTCGGGGGGAAAGCAGATGGTACTATTAGACAAAATAGCTATTTAGAAGACTCTTAGTGAGAAACAGTATAAATAGAAAATGTACAGTATTTGCAAGAATAACACAAAATAATGAGATATTACATAAAAATTTGAACACAAAAACCTTTTGTTGTGATCCAAGCTGTCAAAAAAGAAATAGAAGTGAATGAAGATGTTGTCTCAGGTTCTGGTGGCTAATAAAGTGAAAGATCCATAACAAGGCCGCATTCATTTAGACTCAACCATGATTTGCATGACATGTTTGTTGATATTCTCTGGTTCAACGTTTTATAAAGAATCAGTCATGTCTTCATCAAGTCTCGACGACCAACAACTGCCCCGTTTTGATGCTCTTCAACCAATCGCTGCAAATACAGTATTCCAACCCCTATGACCACCTGATTATTCAAACACGTGTGCTTAGTTTTTGTTAGTAGGACCAGTTCTATTACCACTCACTCCACAGCCTGATAATTCACAAAGTCTGAGTGTTTTTAGTTAAACAAAAACCAGGACAAATAATTTTTCATAACGGGCTCTTCCAGGACAAAGAAGCATTTAAATACCAGTCTTTCACACAAACTTTACTAAGGTTAATTGGTTATTTACACTTTATTTATATATGAAACAGAACCAATGATTTATTTAAATTTTCGGAGAATAAAAACTCTTGTGATGACCGGCAGGGTCCTCCATCCATACAACATGAAAATAAATACTAGATAGCAAGACACCAAGTAGCTGAGAAAGAATAGTAAAAAAAATCTAGAATAAAAAAAAAATAATAATAATGCATTGAACTTATATAGCGCTTTTCAAGACACCCAAAGGCGCTTTCACACACTCTCACATTCACACACTGCTAGTGATGGTGAGCTACTTGTAGCTACAGCCGCCCTGGGGAGGTCTGACAGATGCGAGGCTGCCATTTGGCGCCGTCGGCCCCTCTGACCACCACTAACACAAGCAAGTTGGGTGAAGTGTCTTGCCCAAGGACACAACAGCAGGATACCCCTGGCGGGAGCTGGAATCGAACCCATGACCCTCCGATCATGAGGCAACCCGCTCTACCACCTGAGCTACTGCTGCTGGGGCTTTAACGCTAAAAGCGAATCTTCCCACTTCTTTGGTACTAGGGGTTGTATGAACTAGTCGACTAGTCGACTTCACGGCTCTGTAGTGACTTTCTATGCCTGTCATCGACTAGTCGCTGTCACGTGATAATGACTGACAAGATGCAGTCCTCGGAAAAGACAGCAGGTGATGAGCCCCTGCGCGTCGGGAGGCGGAGGCGATGCGCTGTGCCAGAGCGTCGGTACTGACACCGGCGGTAAAACGGACATTTAACCAAACTGTGACATTTTCCCTCTTGCAATTTTACCTTCCCCTCACCCCCATCCTAATCTTAACCAGTTTGCGCATGCAAAGCTCTGATCATTGACGCGCTCCAGACATCTGCGTCCTGAGCACCGCCAAATCAGGTGTCACCACCTCAAAAACAAATTTAACACACGATCGTTCATGTCGGCTCATTTCCTTTCATGTTTTCTGTCTGTTATTTGTGCCTGATGCGTTTCGCTGCTGCAGAGCGAGGCGCATCACCTGTTTTGTCCTCCGGTGACGCACCCCTAAAATTCCACTATCTCCGCTCCGGCACGAACTCCGCAGCAAAAACGGTCCCGTTGTAGTCGGCCGCCAAGCAGCGAGCACTCCGCTGTTTTTGCGGTCGGTAGATCTTTTAGAACTGCAGTTCAAAGGTAACTCATAAGGTGAATATAAATGAACCCAGGTAGCAGTTTTTCTTTATGATTGAGAGGAGATGCAGAAAGATAATAAACAGACAGGACAGAAAAACAGTCAAATAAAAACACGTTAGTTTATGTACCTGGTGGTTGCAACAAACAAACACCATTGAAGGTAATCAGAAGTGAGGAACAGAAAATGAAATAATTATTTTAATGTTTAGAGCAGCAGGAAAGGCTGCAGGCGCATCAGTGAGTTTGCGGCTGCTGTGCAGGGGGAAAGGGCTGAAGTAGGATGCAGAAACGACCGTTGTTAAAAGAGATTTGTTAACTTAGAAAATGTTGGAGCAGTTTTAATTGTCAACCCCCCCCCCCCGTGCCGCTTCAGGTGTATGGCGTCATCAACGACTAGTCGAAGTCGACTCGATTTTCATTACTTGACTGTCGACTTTAAAAAAAATTAAGTCATGCAACCCCTATTTGGTACAACAAAATACATTTGTTCGTTAAACAAATGATAATAATTAGATACTAATTAATAAACTCATTGTTTTTTTACTGTTTAATATAATCATTACAACATGATCACTTGGTTCATTATAAAGGTATCTTAATTACATGAAATTGATTAGTATGCTTTGGGTATAATAATGATTAATTATAATGATTATAAAGATGTGTTCATCAAAGAAGACCATCACCCTATCCAGCTAACACAGAGTTCAGATAAACAATAACTGCATCACATGTTTTTTTGACGCATGAGCAAGCTTTCTTCCGGAGAGAGTGGGAGTGGTTCTGAGAGTGTTTGGTAAAACTAACCATCACAGATTTCACGTCCAGTTCTGAACAAGACATCATCCTGAGGAGTCAGGGACGGCCACCCTGAACCTCTGCCAAGCCATTCTGTCACGCCGACAAGAATGGCTAAAGAACAAACGAAACTAACGAACTAACAAAGACTCTACCAGAGTCATTGATTTCTGAAGTTAAGTTAAATACGAGAACGTTCATATGCCAAACGCTTCGTACACCGTGTACCCAGGACATCTCTGGACCGGACCATC